AAAAAAAAAAATGGCCACCGATCATGTGACTGTTGTATCTAAATAGAATATGTAAGGTATTGTGAGTTTAAAACCTCGTTTTTAATTTTAAACTATCACATGTTTTACATATAGGTATGTACTCACTTACACATATAAAATTTAGCACTTTTGAGAAAAAAAAAAAAAAAATTATGACATCATTTTGGCGCCATTTTCTAATATGTTCACTGCCTATATAAACCTGTATGTAACAGGATGTACTTTCTGATCTCCACTTGATAAAGCCTAAGGGCGAAACGCGTTGTGGTTTTTTAAACTATATTGTTTTAAATAAAGGTATTTTGGCCACTTTCTTACTGTGAGTTAGCCATCTTACTTTTTATTACTATTATTATTTTACTTTTTTATTACTACCATCCTTTTATCCGGCACAGAAGTGTTTTTACTTTCCAGTGAGGATATTACTCCCAAGAATCCTAGGTGGGGATTATACCACTCAAGCTGTATTCATTGAACAGTCAGTCTGTTCAACTAAATGTGAGTAACCACTTGGTTTTTTATCTTCTCACCTCTGGCATTTTATACTTTGAGCACATTGTTGTTCCTGCTTTTATTTCCACATATGGTTCCCTAATCAAGAAAGAATACTAAGACCTCACGTATCCCATAAGTGGGGATTATACCACTGTACGTTATCAACACTAGAGCTAAGTCCATAGCTCTTGAAAACGTGAGTAGGACCATATACTCTTTTATTGTTTCTACCCCTTTCGGGACATACTATACCATCAGTTGTTATTTTCTCATTTCATATGATGTACAAAGACGCATCTACACCACTCTGAAGAATCCCCCACTACAAAAGACTGTATTCACCTCTACAAGGATATACCTCGTTGTTTGATTCATCTACCAGTAAGACTATTTATTCTGGACTTCTATTTTGCTTAGTATCTATCATATATATTGTATTCTAGTCTGCCTATTCTGTGCTCTTTTAATTTATGTGGTTTATAGTGGCGCTGCCTTCCTTTCTTTTTTCTGTACCATTTCTGTTGTAAGGCCTGTGAGGGAGCCCTACTTTTTAGGTGTGCTGCCACTTTTTACTTATTTATTATTGTTTCTGTTGTATTTTGTATAGATAGAGAGCGCTGATCCCTTTCTTCTGTTCTATAGATGTAAGAATGGCTGCACTTGATGGACATGTGTCTCTTTTTGGATATGTTACTACGTAACTATTGCAACTGACAGTAACAGCTAAGAGTTCACATGTGACACACCTACAATAAATTGTAACATTGATTTTTGACAAAGCACTTAAAGTGGAAGGCCTTGTTGCCCTGATATATAATTTAGAATGCCGTCTTTTGCAGAACCATTTCCAGGCCATTTTTTGTTTTTTACGTGGCTAGAGGGATGTGGCATAATTGCAGACCAGCCATTTTTTTAAATTCTCTAAATTTCTCTCTTCTCCTCTCTCCCACGATCTGCTTATCTTTCTCCCCCTGTTTTGTAAACCTCCCTCTTTTTATGGTAAGGTACTAGTATCCATGGTGTAATTGTTGCTTAAACATTTGCAGGGCCTTTACTCGAACACATGTATCTAATCTCACAAAAGGAAAAGAAAAAAAGCTGTAAGTGTATGATTAGTATCTAAAGGACAGAATAGAGGGGGTAACCCTGCACAAAAGTTAAATATAAAGAGAGAGAGAACATAATCTGTCCTAATAGACTGGGATCCTGAATAAATTAGACACTTAAAATCTAACGTTTAATGGATATAATTAAAAAAGGTAAAGTAACCTTAAATCTCAGGGATACGGGGGATAGGGAAAATATTTACAGGGGATAATGATATATACAAACAAAAAATAATATAAAGTGATAAATGACTTAAATAGAGCTATTTAAACAAAAAAATACTTAGTTATGAAGTACTAACTCCAAAAAAGTAACTATCTGAAAGTATCTAATGTAATAGTAGCTGTTATAGGAAAGGTAAAGATTTCTTTAGTAGCAAAGATTTAGATAATAGAGGGAGAAGGGGGATTTCACCTAAATGTCTAGTTCAGTGAAACTGAACTTGTAGTGAATTCTAATCTCAAACCTCTAATGGCAAATGAAAAAAATAAAAAATAAATAAAAAACAATAAAAAGTAGTGCATATAGTAATAGTATATACTTATAGTGTTAAAGTTTAGAAAAGTCTAATCTGTCTAGTTCACTTAAAGAAATAACCCACACAAATAAATCACTTCAACTTGCTGAAGTGCTTTATGTGTCTGACGTCTGTCAACCTCTTGGCAGTCTATAAAAGTGCGAGTTTCAATAGAAATTGGCATTTTTAGAAATGGGACCAGAAAAACCTCTCTGGCTGTCAATCAGACAGCCAAAGAGGTGTTCTTCTGCTTCCGTTAGCCCCACAGAGCTAACGGAAGTGGCAGGCGCCCTGGGCTATAGTGTGACTTAATTCTCCTCTTCTCAAATAACTTTGAGCTACATTGGAAAGCCATGAGCAAGCTTGCAGCTCCAGCACAGAGATTTCTCAATGAGAAGCCTCTGATTGGAGTATTCACCAGTACAGCTTGAAACTCTGTGCCTGTGCTGTGTAAAACAAAGAGGAGGGCATCTGCAACTTTTTTTTTTTTTTTTACCCCCCATAAAAACAAAGAAAAATGCATGCATATTTCCTTTGGATATATAAATTTTTTTTTTTTTTTTAAGTTTTTTTCAATGGTGTGTTCCTTTAATGTAAATCAGCATTTCTGTGTTGCAGAGGCTATCTGTGGTAAGTAAAAGCATATCTTCGAGCTGAGCAACCGACTAGACGTGCCTGAGCAGAGCTCCTGCTAAACAGACCACAAAAACGACAAAAAAGCCACGAAAACTGACATAATTGGAGACATATTACAGCCTTTACCTCCTACAAAAGGATGGGACGCAAACACCGAAAGCTAACCCATACAGAGGGCTATTGCCAGACCGATATTCGAAGATCCTTCGATGGGCCGCGGCCCCAGGCCCGGACCAAAATGGCCCCTGACACAGCACGAGGCTCCAGCAACTCGGAGGATTCCATGGAGGAGGAGGACACGGAGGCCCCGCAGACAGTGAGTGGCGTACACCAAAGGGCAGAATCAGACGCAGACGCATCCCCGTCCACTAAAGGGGACATTAAACAACTCCTACTGGATCTGCGGGCGGTCTGGAAAGCTGACCTCGCGGGGGTTCAGACTGAGATAACCACCCTGACCCACCGCGTAGATGAGGTGGAATCCAGAGAGGGGGAAAGAGACCGCTTAATAGCAGACTCACAAACTCAGATACAAGCCATGTCCCTGCAGATCCAGAGACTCACCAACTCAGTCACGTCTCTGGAGGCCAGACACCGCAGGAGGAACATCAGACTCCGAGGCATACCGGAGTCCGTGAACCAGGAGGCCCTGATGGACTTTGCTACCAAAGTAGCTGGAGCATTGGGGGTGCAGGTGGTAAACGGAGAACAACCCCTGACGTCGGCGTTCCGAGTCCGGAAGGCCCCCACTGCCCCTGCAGACGCCCCCAGAGACACCATCGTGATTACACGAGATATCTCGGTCAAGACAGCCCTCCTGTCCCGCTCCAGAAAACAGGACCCAGTGGCGGTGGAAAACTGCCATATAAGAATATTCGATGACTTACCATTTTCGATACTAGCAGAGAGACGCAGATTCCAGCCCATCACTAGGGCCCTCAGAGACCAAGGAGTTCGGTACAGATGGGGAGCATCTGGAACACTGGTGGTGCCCCACGGTGACTCTGTCCTGGCCCTATCAGCAGGGGAAGACCCGACCAAGTTTCTCAGCAAGCTGGGACTGCCCGTTACAACGCTGCAATCATGGGGAACAACGGCGGAGACGACCAACCCGGTACCCAGCCAGAACGGATCAGCCCGAAGCAGGGACCGGATCCCTCCTTAATTTACCAGCAGACTGCAGAGGCTTACCTGGCTATCCATCAGTCGGTAGCGCGCCAACAATGAACATTTGCTGGACTCGCAAAGGACAATTAGAACTTGCTTCCCAACGACTAGAAGCATAACCCATTAGCTCTTATAATAGCTCATCACTTACCAGCTCCGCAGCCCAGTGTAACGGGTACTCCCTTACGAGACAGTTTAGCCATCTAGGCCCCGCATATAGATGCCTGTTAGCATCATCCCTGCGTACACCTTCCGCTTAGTGAGGGCAAGCCCTAAACGGGTGGGAACACTTGCACTACAAGGGAACTCTTGCTTATATTACACGACATTCAATACAGACAGAATAACGCCACACAGTTCACCCTTAAGGCGGCGTGACCCTCCACCCACCCCCCCCCAGATCAGACACAAAGCAGCCGAGTACTGAGATCACTGACGCCAGGATCTCCTAGACATCACACGATGTTTGCTTTGCTGTAAATAAGCTCAATTCGCAATATAAACCCAGAAGACAACGTACCCCTGGCCACTAGAGATATAAGTGTCCCCCAGGAAGAAACAGGCTTTTAATTATCACTAGATAGCCGCAGGCATCTTACTATGCCAACCCTCAAGACTAACACAGTCGACCTCAACACTCTTACTTTTTACATACTTGAAGTTATTATGAGTAAATATTATATAGCCGAACTTGTGGCAACATAATTAGAGGTACAATCAGATATACTAGATGGAAAGGTTTTTACTATGTATAACGTTTAGAAAGATTTTAGTTTAAAACCATGTCAATATTCCATAAGATAGTTATGTCTAACCAGGATTGACATTATTCGCCACGCAACATGTCTGACAATTTCGCTTATATTCAGCTTTAGCTCTTTTTCTTTTAAAAATGTGCACAGCTATCTCTATACCATGTTGTACTCTGTTATCCAATGGTTACCTGCAACTGTTGTGGTTCAGCAAACCAAACTGTTATCTCATGCACAAACAAAAATAAAGAATATAAAAAAAAAAAAGCATATCTTCATACTACAGTCTTTGAAATGAAAAAGTTGCAAATAAAAGAACACAGAGGAGGCAGAGACAAGCTCGTGTAGACAGAGACAGACACAGGCTCGTGTAGACAGAGACAGACACAGGCCCGTGGAGACAAACAGAATCACGCAGGCATGCAGACAAAGGCTGTTTAATGCAGACAGATGTAGACTCACAAAGTCAAGCTTATGGAGACACGCAGTTCAGTCTGAGACAGGCTCATATAGACAGAGGCAAACTCATACCGAGGCAGGCTTACACAGGCAGAGGCAGATATATTTGATTTAGCAAACAAAGCAAGGCCTATGTAATCAAAAGCAGAGAACTCTTAAAGCAAACCGACACATGCAAATACACAACATGTAAGTTTTACTTTTAAAACAATTTACACTTTTTTAAAGCATATGTAATATGATCACATTTGTCACTTTTAACCATCTGCCACATTCTCCCACTTCAATCATTTTACACTAAAATTCTTTAAAGGGACGTGCATTACTTTGAGACAAATGTCTTATTCAGAAGCTTTTCTTTAAATGAGACAGTTGCCTCCAGAGGCATAACTAGAAACCAGGGGGCCTGGTGAAAAAAATGCCCTGGCACCCCACCTCCCCATGTGTATCATTCCCCCACAGCAGTTGCGGAACAAATGTAGAGAGAGCCCTGGTGCAAGAACATTTTTTGGGCCACCTCTAGTGCAAGGGTGGCCAAAAGGTAGTTCCTCATCTGTCGTACAACTCCTATGATGCTATGTCAGCTGGGGATCTATAATTAGCCCATCCTTGCCGGGTTGTATTTGTGTGCAGTGTTTGTGCGTTTGAATGTAAGCATGTTTTTGAATAGAGTATATGTGCGAATGTAGGGGTGTATTTGTATGTACTATTGCCATTGGAATGCAGTCGTGTATTTGTGTGTAATGTTTAAATGCAGTGATGTGTTTATATGTAGTGTTGGCTTTAAAAAGGCAGGTGTGCTTTTGTGTGTAGTGCTGGTGTTAGATTGAAGGGTGCTTGTATATAATTTTACTGCATTAATACAGATGAGTGTTTGTAAGTAATGTTTGTGTTTGATTGCTGGGGTGTGTTTGAATGTAACAGGTACATGCTCTGTACCTCTATGTAGTGTGGTGAGTGCACGGCACTACCCGGTCCAAAAGGAAGTGCTTTCTCAGTGAGCACTTCCTGTCAGTCCACGGTCCACTCGGCCACACTACGTGCAGTGACTGAAAGGAGGGGAACACTGTGCTGATAGAACAACTCTTCACATTGCAGCACCCTGACATGGGGAGAAGAGAGAGAATCTGATCAGTATGATCCGGTGTGGATTGGTCTGAAAATGAGAAGGTTGTGCAAGAGAGGAGGGGGTGAGATTGAAGAAACTCCCCTAGCTGAGGGGCATGTCCGATAATGCAATCTGACCAAGTTTATAAACGTTTATTACATACTTTTCAATGCTTTGCTTGCTTTATTTTGGTCTGTTTATTTGTTTAGAAGTGTTTGCTTGCTGGATAAAAAAAATATATATATATATATATATACAGGGAGTGCAGAATTATTAGGCAAATGAGTATTTTGACCACATCATCCTCTTTATGCATGTTGTCTTACTCCAAGCTGTACAGGCTCGAAAGCCTACTACCAATTAAGCATATTAGGTGATGTGCATCTCTGTAATGAGAAGGGGTGTGGTCTAATGACATCAACACCCTATATCAGGTGTGCATAATTATTAGGCAACTTCCTTTCCTTTTGCAAAATGGGTCAAAACAGTACACCTCTCTGAACAGTGTCTGGGAGGCTGTGGTTGCTGCTGCACGCAATGTTGATGGTGAACAGATCAAAACACTGACAGAATCCATGGATGGCAGGCTTTTTGAGTGTCCTTGCAAAGAAAGGTGGCTATATTGGTCACTGATTTGTTTTTGTTTTGTTTTTGAATGTCAGAAATGTATATTTGTGAATGTTGAGATGTTATATTGGTTTCACTGGTAATAATAAATAATTGAAATGGGTATATATTTGTTTTTTGTTAAGTTGCCTAATAATTATGCACAGTAATAGTCACCTGCACACACAGATATCCCCCCTAACATAGCTATAACTAAAAACAAACTAAAAACTACTTCCAAAAATATTCAGCTTTGATATTAATGAGTTTTTTGGGTTCATTGAGAACATGGCTGTTGTTCAATAATAAAATTAATCCTCAAAAATACAACTTGCCTAATAATTCTGCACTCCCTGTATTTGTCACGTGATGCATGTTCATTTAAGTGCATTTTCTCATAATTTGCATTTACCCAGTCATGTTGCATTCACCTGCCTAAGTACTTTAAGACTGCTGGATCCTCCAAAGATAAAGCCTATTCCCTGCTGCCGTGACTGGTGACAGCTAGGGGGATTGACACTTCTAGATGACGTAGCTCCGCCCAGTGTCTAGAAGGGTCAGGTGTAGGAAATATCACAGATATATAGTACTCTCTACTTTGTCTTAGTATATCTCTTGACTGGGTTGGAATATCAGTGAAGTTCCACCACAGTCAAAATTAGTATTTCACAAAAATCTTATATTAATGAAATAAAATATTTTCTGGTTTACCTGCTTATTTCACTAATTTGCTAACAGACTATTTGTATCTCACTGTGGCCTAAATGTTTACATCACAGAGGTTTCACAATAAAGATCTTTTTGGGTTTTTTTTTTACCACATAGTCTGTTTTTTAATTTAAAGTTGTTAGTTTCTCAAGTTCTTTATCTGAGTCATACAGAACTTGGTGAAATCGCTGAGGACTTTAATTTGATTTTTTTTTTTTTTTCTCCCCACAAAAGCAATTACAGAAAAGTGCAAATGTAACATCTGACATTTAACACTTCACAATGGCTGGCTCTCTCTGCTTAAATGGGGCCTCTCCACAGAACAACAAGAGTCAAAAGGGCTTGTGTCATGAAGTAATGTAAGACACAATCTCAGCTGAAAATGCACAATGAATGGGGAAGGATTTATGTAATTAATTGACCAGTCTTAACCTGTTATCGTGATGTAAGGAATCTGGAACTCATTAATTTGGGCTCTGACAGATTTCATATTAGGCATGGCAAATATGGATTGAACCTCTTATTCATTGTAACAGCTCGAATTTTCATGACAGTGAGGATTAGTGAAGAAGACCTATTGCAGAAGTCAAACTGCCTCCTTTTGTAATCAACAGTACTGCTTTGAGTTAAAGGATAATGAAAAAAAGGGGGGGAAAAAGGAAGCGCACATCATTGTGTTGTGTGAAAGGCCAGTGATAGCACCCAATATACTGATATTTACAATGAACACGAACATCCCTCTCTATGTAAAAGAATGTTCTAGCTATCTGAGGCCTGGTTAATTGTCTCTCGTACCAGATGTGGTGGATAAAACCAAACAAATTTTGCCTTTTCTGGGAATTCTGAAGCAGCCTGTATACACTATAAATGTAACCATAGGGAGGGTTCTTAAAGTGGAACCATCACATCTTCTGGATATTACACTACTGAATAAAATATTATTTACCTATAAGTTGTGTTTCGCTTTTTTTCATGCAATGTTCCATTTCCTGTTGAATAGATATTAAAGATTTAGCAATTGACATCATGGTCCAGTTCGATCCTGGCACAGCTAGGGCACACAATGCATTGGAGGAAGGAACACAGAAACATTGCTTCTGTTTCCCCTCTGTCTGTTCTGACTGACAGGTGTAAAGGGCAGAACATAATGACTGACAGTGAGCTAAGCTGGAGACATTCAGATCTAAGACAGAGGTAAATACATTGGTGTGGCTTTCTACAATTAGTTTTACTTTGCAGACCTCAAAATCACATATTTGTTAACTCCTTAAGGATCAAGGCTTTTTTGAGATGCAACGCATTTATGACCAAGGCCTTTTTGGTGTTTTTCCCATGCCGTTGTTCTACCACAATTTCCCCCTTTCCATTTGAGTGCACACATACAGATTATAAATATTTTTTTAAAGGAGAAGTAGTGCTTTCTTTTGATACCCTATATGTATACATAGTGCAGTATTAAATAGGAAGAAAACATAAAAAAATGGAAAACTTTTTTTTAAAATAATTTTTTTCTCACTGTTACCTTTAATAATTTCTACAAACGAAGTGCAAGTAAAGAAAACTAATTAAAAATAGTCACTAATTAGTCCTGATTGTTAAAATGCCCAATATGTCTAGGATTCCAATTACCTTTTATAGGTTATAAAACAAATACTGCAAGGAGTGGATTATAGTTTTACAGCTAAAACTTAGCAAAATTTGGCATACTGATGTTACAACTTTTATAGTAGTCACGTTTGGACTATACAAAAGTATATATTTGTAGAAAGTACATCCAGCAGGCCACAGGGGCGTACCTAGAGCATTTGGCACCCGGGGCGGACCCTGAGTGTGGCACCCTCCCCCCCCCCGCCCACCCCCATAATAAAAATTTAAGAAAACACCCACAATTTTTTCAATGTTTTCAATAACATTTATTTCACAAATTTGTAAACTGTATATCAACTTGAAAAAAATGGAACTATGAAAAATAAATTAACTTAGAAATAAGAAATAAATAAAATTTAAATAATTAACATTTACTTACTACACCCCCCATAATTAATACACCCCATAATTAAATCCACCCTGATAATTAATCCACCCCATAATTAATCCACTCCCCATAATTAATACCCCATTATTAATCCACCCCATAATTAGTACCCCATAATTAATCCACCCCATAGTGTACCCCCATAAACCTCCTCCCATAATTAATACACCCCCCATAATTAAACCTCCCTCCCATAATTAATACATCCCCATAATTAATCCACCCCCATAATTAATACATCCCCCCATAATTAATACACCCCCCATAATTAATACACCCCACTTAATACACCCCCATAATTAATTCACCCCCCTTAATTAATCCACTACCCATAATTAATTCCCCCCTTAATTAATCCACCCCCCCATAATACACCCCCATAATTAATCCACCCCACATAATTAATACACCCCCCATAATTAATCCACTCCGCCTTAATTAATCCACCCCCCCATAATTAATCCACCCCTAATAATTAATCCACCCCATAATTAATCCACCCCCCCATAATTAATCCACCCCTATAATTAATACACCCCCCATAATTAATTCACCCCCTATAATTAATATACACCACCCCCATAATTAATACCCCATAATT